GTTAAGGGGTTAAAGGGTTAAGCTAACTGTCTGCACTCATAAACAAAGATTTACCAGAGAGAGAAGACCATAATAAAATCATCTGTCTATGACATTATCTGCAGATGAGTCAGAAGGGAAAAAACTACTAGGTGAAACTGTGCACCCTTAAGCCTGAGATTATACTTCACAGCTCTCACAAGTATTTGTTGACTTTAGTGCAGCACAATGTCACAGTTTTGTTTTATATTATCTGTGATGGTGTATAGGAATTTCTTTTACTTATGTATTAATCACATTATTTTATTGTATGATGCCTTGGTGCCACTGGATTCTAACATGTCTCACACTCATGCAGTTAGACAGATGGTGGGGGTGTAGTAAGGATGTTGGGGGGAAGCAGACAGCTCCACAGGAAGAATCTTTTCTCTCTTTGAGGACTCTGGGCGGTAGCAAGGGAGTGTGAACCTTAAGGTGTGAAACAGCTGTGTACTGCCTTTTGTTCCTGGAGAAGGTATTTAACTGAGAGCCATGCTAGGCTCAGAGAGACTCTGCTGACCGTCTGCCCCGCGGTCATGTAGGCTCTCCACAAGCTTGGTTTGTCTGTTCTTTGTTTTTGATTGAAGAATGTTAGCTACCGCTCACCGCTCGTCTGCAGGCTTTGTTTAATGGAAAACTTCCACAACAATGGCTAACTAAAACAGAGCACATCCTGCACAGCTCACTAGCAACCGAGAGATAGGAAATCATTCACCCCCACACCTACAACCATTTATGGATTAGCAGTGGCTCTAACATTGAAAGAACACTCATGCAAGCATAGGAATAGAGAGGTTAGATAGATTAGATTAGATAAAACTTTATTAATCCCTCGGTTAGGTTCCTCTGGGAAATTCGGTTTCCAAATAGCACAGCACCAACAGAAGTTACAGAATGTGAGCAGAATACCATATATACACATATATAAATACAGAGAATACAAAAGGGATAAATAGAATAAATAGGAATTAGAATACAAAGGAATTGCACATTTCAAGTATTGAAGTCTACTGCACTGTTGGATATTAACAAAAAGTATTGCACAGTGAAAAGGCACTACAGCTTAGTTGTCCCCCACTCCTTTGTCCTCCTGTTTCCCCTCCCACTCCCCTCCAGAGAGGAGTTAAACAGTTTGATGGCGTGTGGGACAAAGGAGTTTATAAGTCTGTTGGTTCTTGTCTTTGGGAGAAGCAACCTGTCACTGAACAGACTCCTCTGGAATAGCATGCAAAGGCTACATGGAAATGCAACGCTGCTAACTATTGAAGCACAACAAGTCAAAAATATTCAACAAAGAATTAAACACCATGAATTAAAGATAGGCAGTTTATCAAATTTATTAGATTTGTTTTTGGGGTTTTTTTTACCAATTTTAAACTCTGCTTTCTTGGAATGATTCATCTGATATCAAATAAAAGTTCTGAAATATCTTAAAACAGGCGCAAAACATGAACCAGCAGGTTCAAGGCATCAAGCTGTTTGCCTGAATTTGAGCAAAGTAAGACCACTTCTTGCATGTGTAGCCCTGACAATGCTGTTTGTTAACATAAAGTATCCAGTGCTTCTGACTCTCTTTAGTCTCTGTACAGCTCTTCAGACTGTGGCATTGTAAAGGAACCACGGCAGACCCAATGACGTTTCCGTGCTTTTCAGCATCTTTACTGACTTGCTTTCATCAGCGGTTGTCATTTCCACACAGCTGGAGCACAAACACCAACAGCAACAATAACCAGGACCCAGTGCAGACTTTTTATGTCGGCGAGGCATGATTGCAGATGCCGTGCAGTTGCATCCACCTCCCCTGCAGCAGCAGCGCAGACCACGCCCCACCACAGGCATAAAAGTATATTTGACGTTTTTTTGATAAGTGGTGTAAACTGACATTGTGAACTGCTAAACAGCACGTTTTAAAATAAGAAAAAGATTAAAGATTAAAAAGCAGAGAAGCTGACCAGTTTCTGTAACTCCCTCTGTTTTACTGCTTTTATCATTTTCATTTGACTATTACAGCCACGTCATGATAGTGGTATGGCAATTCAGTGCTGTTTTGCATTTTAATTTTTGCTGAAGGAGAATTCAGGACAGATGATTTACACAGCAGGTGCCAGGACAGCTGACCTGGTTGAGTCAGCAGTCTGTGCACTGCACGCTAACACCCATCTGTGTAGGGGCCTGGGTTGAAGTCTTTCAAACTGTTTAATGTCTGTGGAAAACAACATTATACTGACACTGATAACTCTGTGTCCAACTGTGAAAGATTTACTGCATTACATGAAAGTGTGACATTACGGTTTTGCTGAAGTTTTATGGGAATTTGTTTTAGATTATGTATCAGTGCTTTATCTCCACTTATTGTATACTGTCTCTTTCAATCCTGCAGCGCAACACTAGTATGGAATCAGCATCAATTCAGCTAAACCCTAGAAATTTGTTCAAGTAAAATACCCCATGCTGTGCAATAGATGTAGGCTGCTGGGGATTCCCATGATGCATTGAGTATTTCTTCTTCAGTCACCTTTCTCACTCACTATGTATTAACAGACCTCTCTGCACTGAATCATATCTGTTATTAACCTCTGTCTCTCTTCCACAGCATGTCTTTATCCTGTCTTCCTTCTCTCACCCCAACCAATCACAGCAGATGGCCCCGCCCCTCCCTGAGCCTGGTTCTGCTGGAGGTTTCTTCCTGTTAAAAGGGAGTTTTTCCTTCTGTTACCAAAGTGCTGCTCATAGGGGGTCATATGATTGTTGGGTTTTTCTCTGTATGTATTACTGTACGATCTACTGTACAATATAAAGCGCCTTGAGGTGACTGTTCTTGTGATTTGGCGGCATTTAAATAAAACAACTTGAATTGAATTGAATTATTCCAGTTATGATTGGATGAGTCAGTGTGACTCAATGTCCAGTTGTATCCCTGAGAGTGTACCGGAGGAGGTTGTGTTTCTGAAACAGAGGGTCCACAAATGAAAAATGTCTGTTTTGTGAAAGTGAAGTATGATCTAAAAAGTGTCAAGTATCCGAATGATGACTAATAACCATAGCTGGCAACTCAGTCCAGTTTTTTTTTTTCATTGCATTGACTATATTACAAAAAATTGCTTATATCTATTTTAACACTGCAGGATTGTTTCTTGTTTCCCTCAGTAACACTACATTTAGTAGGAAATTTGAAGTTTATTTTTTAATTCTGTCATACTGACAGAATGACATTAAATGACAGCAGAACATCCTTCAACATAATGAATGAAACAGCAAACAGATCAATAGAAAATACTGTTTTTCCACATGAAATTACTTAAAGCGAATTATGCTGTACTTAAAATTACAGTATAAGCGTATCAAATTTGTTCTAGTTCTCAGTGTGTCTGCTCCTCTCTGTCCCTCTCTGTCTCCTCAACAGGATCATTTGTAGTCAATGTGACACAGACCTGCTATCAGGCAGAGGAGAACCACAACATCACACTGGAGTGGACGTTCACCACCAAACCTGACAGATCCACAAACTCTGTTTCCATCAGGTGTCAACACAAGACTAATTTTAAAACCTTTGGCTTCTATCATGTGTCCAATGGTGTTGAGGTGTCAGCATCTTCAACTGTCCAGACTCGATGACTCGGGTCTGTACCTGTGTGAGGTGAACACTGATCATGGTGCTGGTTATGAGAGCTGTCGCCTCAGCGTCACAGGTAAATTACTAAGGAGTATTTGTATTATTTTCTTTTTTTCTTCTTTAAATATGATTTCACCACTGAGGATAATAAGGGCATTACTGCTTTTCATAACAGATGCATAATATATTTTTAATGGCAACACGTCTCTGTGTTTTTTACAACAGCAGCTGATCAACGTCAGAGACTGACACTGTCAAGCATGAGCTTGTACGTTGGTCTGGGGCTGGGAGTAGCTGCTGTAGTTTCTGTGATTATTGGAAAGGAGAAAAAGCCACAAAACCCAGCAGGGAGTGCCTTAGAGACACAACCCATCAGGACTAAGAAGACTTTTTCTGAAGGACCCGCTTCCTATGAGGACACATCATTTCAGATATACATATAGACATGAACCTCTCTCCCAATAACATCTGTTTGAAATGTCAGACAGCAGTTTATGATCTAAAACAGAAAACAGTAGTTTTTCTGTTTCATTATGTTTGTGCCACACTTGGTTTGACTGTTACATAACTAATAATAATAATGATGGATTGCATTTCTATATTCGAGAACCTCAAAGCGCTGTACAATTCCACTATTCATTCACTCTCACATTCACACACTGGTGGAGGCAAGCTACAGTTGTAGCCACAGCTGCCCCAACTACAGCTGTTTCCCCCGATGTGTAAAGAATGAAACAATGATCAAACATTTACTGTTTTATTATAAATGTCATTACATCTTTGACATTCTCATTTAACCCCCATATTACTGTTTTAAGTAATGTTAATTTTAAACTTGTTTTTAGAGATCAAGGAATTCTTGCATGTCCTAACTGACATGGATATGGTTTGGTTAGTGTTGCTTTTTTATTTTGTTTGATATTTATTGTGTTGTTTAGGGTGTTTTACTGAAGCAGTTTGCAATAAGTGCCATAAAATAATAATAAAGTTATTATTAATACTACTACTACTACTAATAATAATAATAATAATATATTTGATTGGATACAGTGAGCTTATAGCACCATCATCTGGCCAAGAGGGTGAATTTCACTTAGTTCCATAAGTGGAGGAAAATACTTATTTTCATGGATATTTTTCTTTCCCTATAAAAACAAATCTATCCATGCCTAAATCATTTTGATGAAATTCTTGTTGCTGTTATGCTCCTCCTCCATAATGCATAAAGAACTGTATGTTGTATCTTCATGCAGGAACAACGTCTCATATTGACCTCAGAATTTCCAGACATGATTTGTGTCCTGCAGGCAGCATCTTGAAATCTGAGTGTGGTTCAAAGTTTAGACTGGATTTAAAAGAAGAAGAAAGCATCGGGCATGAGACATGAAATTCCTCCAGTTCACGAACTCCAGCTCAAAGAAATCGAGTTCATCAGCCTGTGTGTGTTGATTTGAGAGAGAAATGAAATAAAAGCAGCAGCAGCAGCCGCCTGCTGCCACAGCTTTAGTTTGAGTTTGTTGAAACCATAAGTTACATTTTAGGAACAGAAACCTGCAGCAGAATTTTACACTTTTTTATTTCTGCTTCTAAAGTATTTTTAAAACCATAAGCAATGAAACACTGAACCATCTGCTCACCTGAGACCCTTCTTTATGGAATATGCATGTATCAAAGTCTAATAACAAAGCCTAACTCTTGTATATGCATAAAGAAAGGACTATTTTCTCACTGCATGTTTGTTATTGCAAATCTTGTAAACTCTGTTATTAATAAAGTTTATTGCTGTTTGTAAAAACAAGGGTCGTGACAGTGTGCTCCTTAAAGGAACACATACACGTTGAGGAAACGGGAAGCAAATGAAGCGTGTTATCTGCCGTAACAAAGTCCAGTCCCTACTATCAGGATTAAATAACAGCACATTTCCTTCTTTGGTCTTGTTGAGTCCAGGCACTTGTTAAAGTTTAACCACTGAATACAGCTGATAGGAAAACGGCACATTTATAGGCTAAATCCTCTGGTGGATTAAAGGCCGTACAAACTGAAGAGAGCAAAAGTTTGTTTTTGTTTTTTTTTTAAAGTTCCCATTTGGTGGCAGGATGAGCGTCCAGCTTAGAAATAATAAACAGGACACACATGGGAGCATAACCTACCCCATCATCCTTTCTGCAGTGATACATGAGCACATAATATGCACTTCATATCACAATGAGGCTTTCTGATACTTCAAACATACATTACACAGTCTTGGATTCTTGAACCTCAGGTTTTCTGCCTCCAAGTCCTGCTTTTAGTTTCTCTTGGTGCAAAACGACACCACAAAGCTCCTGTTAAACATTTAAATGAAATTTTGGTATCTTCTCAGCCGAGTACGACATCTTAAGGCACAGAAGCGATTAACCAGTAAAACTGCAAAGCCAAGTAAAGCTGCCAGTTCGAATCCCAGTGCAGTGTAGAGGACCGTCCTTTGCATCCAGGTGTGTGCTGATGGACTCAAAGTTGATCCCTGAGGTTTGGAACGAACAGCAGCTGCTGCAAAGGAGAGAAAAATGAAGAGAGAATATTTTAATATCATTGGTAGCTGTTAGCAGTTCCTGTTCTGAAAACATCATAAAGAAAGAAACAACAAAAAACTTTGATAACAACTGGAGCACAAAGAACTCGATGAACAATTAGATTACTGACAGGCCCTGCTGCTCTCTTATATTGCAGAATTGGTAGGGAACCAACAAGTCAACTGTATATCAGTACAGTGACATATAACCCCGTTAACCTGGGGAGTGAAACTCAAGGGCCGGTGTCCTGCAGGTTTTAGATAACACCATGGGTCAACACACCTGAATCAAGTGATTACTTCATTACCAGGACTCTGGAGAATTATAAGGCATGTTGGGGAGGTAATTTAGCCATTTAAATCAGCTGTGTTGGATCAAAGACGCATCTAAAACCTGCAGGACACCGGCACTCGAGGCCTGGAGTTCGACACCTGTGCCTTGAACATTGGAAATTGCCTTTTCTACTCTTTTGTCCAGCTTTGAAAAGGCAAAAAAAAAAACCTTTCAAGGTTCTGACATGCAGACACAGTATCCTTCGGATAGAAAAAAAATACAGCTATTTGCAGACTTTATGCTTTGAACATTTACATTACTTCGATCTTTAAAGCACAGGCAGGAGGAACTTCATCTAATTTTAAATCTTTATAAAAACTATTTGTACTGCTTTTATATATTTATGCTATTTTTAAAGAAGTGTTATTCGAATGTATATTTAGAATAAAAACAGATTGTATTATTTGTTTTAGGAAAACAAATATTCTTTGTTGGTTTCTGAATGTCAAAATGGAGTAATTCGTACTGCTTTAATCTTCTTACCACGTATGCTGAGTCGACAGTAGTCAAAGCCATAATCATACTCGGTTTTCACCTCACACAGGTACAGACCCGAGTCATCAGTCCTGAGTCTGGACAGTTGAAGTCTGATTCGTCCTTCTCTGAGGGCGTCTTTGTCACTCTGGACTCGTCCTGAAAACTTTGCATCCTGAGACTCTGACACCTCAACACCACTGGACACATGATAGAAGCCTGAGGTTTCATAATTAGTCATCTGTTGACAGATGATGGAAACAGAGTTTGTGGAGTTGTCAGGTTTGGTGGTGAACGTCCACTCCAGTGTGATGTTGTGGTTCTCCTCTGCCTGATAGGAGGTCTGTGTCACATTGACTACAAATGATCCTGTTGAGGAGACAGAGAGGGAAAGAGAGGAGCAGACACACTGAGAACTGGAACAAATCTGTTGTTGAGCTTTATTTGGAGTTCATAAAGTGAAGCTGTAAACTAACCAGAGACACATGAGGTGAGGATGATGAGCAGCAGGATCCTGCATATCATCTTCTCCCTGTGAGAGGAGACAGAGGTGAAGAGTCATCAACACATGAGGTCAAAGGTCAGTCAGTACAGCTAGAAGAAGGAAAATCTAGTCTGACTTCATTCACTCATTACAACATGTGATCCTGTTCATGATCTTGTTAGAAGTAACGTTAACTCGGTCACCAAGTGCTGAAAAAAATATTTAGTCTTTTTACTTCAGTAGAAGTCAGAATCCTGCTTATGCAACCATGACGGGTGTGGCTTATGACTCAGCTGCAGGGATGGGGTGGAGCAGCAGGTTCAGGGTGTGGTTTCAGGGGAGGCTGACCCACATAGCTGTTTATCATCACTTGGTCATTCATTCTGTATTTCAGTAGGTTAACAGAACCTGACAGGATTGGTGTGTGAAGCAACAAAGGTAGCAAACGCTGCAAATAAATATAGCTCGACTTCGGTGTGTGCTTCAGGTCCTTCTTGTTAAAGTAACATGTTAGCATCAACTTAAAAAAAAAAAATCCAGGACAAAGATTATTACAAAAAAAAGTCATCAAATCAAAGCACTTGAGGTAGGTTTGGAAAAGTAAAAATATATCAACACTTTCTAGCTTTGGCTTCTCAGGTTCATAGAGACTCAAACAGCCACAGAGCTATTATAATGTCACTCACCACAGCTGTGCAACACTAAGCATCATTCCCTTCAGCCTCTGGGAGAAACAGTTACTATGGCCTTAGTCCGCGCCCAGTACATAGTAGGGATTGGCAGATAGATCGAAATATTAATATTAATAGTATCCATGTCGACACTGGTATTGGTGTCGGATCGATATGAATGTGGTGCAATCGATACTGTCTTTTCTCTTTTCTTCGTTCAGTGCGTTGGTCCCATTTCAAAGTGATCACGTCATCACGGAGGCCCTCGTGTGATGAGTGAATAACTTTTATGCTTAAAAAATATATATTTAAATTATAAGCAAAACTTAGCTGTGATGAGGATTGGGAAAGCTGGGACTTATGTGTCAGAGGTAACCAATTCAAAAATCATCATTAGGCCGTAACACAGTGAGTTACATCCGCTGACAGGTACAGTGGGAGGATGACATCAGGAAGGGGGTAAGGGTAGCCCAAACTAGAAAACAGCTTATCCCTAAATCAGGGCCCATTTATTCTAGCGGGCAGTGTTAATGCAGATAAGGGGAAGACACCCTGGGTGAGACAGACTCACTTTGTAGCATAAGGCACCTGCCTTATGCTACAAAGTAAGCATAAGCATAACAATCATATGACCTCCTATGAGCAAGTGTTTTGGCAACAGTGGGAAGGAAAAACTCCCTTTTAACAGGAAGAAACCTCCAGCAGAAACAGGCTCAGGGAGGGGCGGCCATCTGCTGCGACTATTTGACAAGCTGTAAAAGACACCAAGAGATTAATAATAACTAATAATTCTCATCAATAACACAGACATGAGTTCATCAGGCCTCTCTGTGTTGATTTGACAGGCAAATGAAATGAAAGCAGCAGCAGCAGCAGCCTGCTGCCAAAGCTTTAGTTTGACTCTGTAGAAATCCAAAGTTATATTTTAGCAGCAGAACCTTAGACTTTTCTTTTATTTCTGCTTCTAAATTATTTTTAAAACCATAACAACTGAAAAACAGTTGCTCGCTCTTTCTCTGTGGAGTTTGCATGCCCCCTCCTCCCCTCCCCTCACACTGGATTCCTCTCAGTTCTTAAACAGATTAGTATTTTTTTCCTCTAATATTAAAGGATAACAGATGCATATACATAAACAAAAGACAATTTTTCTCACTGCATGATTGTTATTGCAAATTTGTAAACCACATTATTACTAAAGTTTATTCCCGTTCTTGCTTCACATCTTGGTGTCGACACAAAAGGGTAATGGCAGTGTGCTTTTTAATGCAACGCGTACAGTTTTAGGAAACAGGAAGTGAATGAAATGTTTCATCTACTGTACTAAAGGCACATTTCCTTCTTTGGTCTTGTTGACTCCGATTATTGAATACAGCTGCTGGGAGAACAACATATTTATTTGGGGAAAAGAAAAATGTCTTTTCACTCTAGCTGCGGTCCTTCTCCCACAAATCACCTCTGACACTCGTCTCCACCCACTCCACCCTTCCTGCACGCACTTCCTCGCTTCTCTTGTCTTTCGCTTTGGATGGTATTTAAAACTCATCTGCCTTCACTGTTACACCCGCCTCCTTCTCATTCACACACACGTACTCTGACTTACTTCTACTGGCTTTCTTTCAACTTCTAGCCAGAGCATCCCTCCACCTCTCCAGGCTTCTTCCACCTGCTCTCTACTCTCACTACAAATCACTATATGTGATCTGCAAACATTACAGTCCACGGACACTATTGCCTGACCTCATCTGTCAGCCTCTTCATCATCACTGCATACAAGAAGCTCTTTCTTGGCATGAAGCCTGCTGCTCACTGATCATCAACAACTTTTTCCCATATCTTCACGGTGTGGCTCATCAGCTTGAGCCACCTGTACTTACTTGGGCTCTGCACATCACCCTTGCTCTTGGAAAATCAGCACCAACACATTTGTTCCATGATTGTGTTCAACAGTCAATTCAAAAACTCCACTGCTCTCTCTCTTTCTCTCTCTCTCTCTCTGCCAGATATCACACCTGCACAGGTTTGCCATCTGGGCCACATGCACTTCCACTCTCCATCCCCTTCACAGCTGCTCTCACTTCCTCTTTATTAACACTTTGCATTTCCTGGATCACCAACCGTCATCCATCACTCCTCCCCCACCTCTCTCTCATTTTTCTTCATTCCCCTCAAAGTACCCCATCCAACCTCTTCAACACACCACCTTCACTCGCAGGCACATTTCCACCTCTATCCTCAATCCAAACCTGTTGCACATCCTTTCCTCACCAAGCCAATCGATGTAAGTCCTTTTTTTCTCTCCTTACTGAGACGATCCAACCGTTTAATGAATGAATGAAAAGACAGCATCCTTCAGAGCAGAAGTACAAGACACTGCAGGTGAAAATGACCAAGAAATCACTGAGAAAAAGCGCTTACCCGCTTACCCTGCGATGACTGTGGACAGGGCACCGTGGGAATAAAACTCAGGCGCTGCTGAGCGAGTGAAGCACGGAGCTACATCCTCACACATGAAAAAAGGAAACACACAAATGTAGCACAAAAACGAACTCCGTGCTCCTATGATTTCCTCTCTCAGATATACCGCTGTCGTCTTCAGTGAGCCCGGGGCAGTGAAGCCCCGCCCTCTATAAACGTTGCCATCCATCGACCAATCAAGTCATTCTTAACTAATTCGACTGAGTTTTTATTTCTTTTTTCCTCTTTTTTTTCCTCCGCTTTTCTTGATATTCCGGTTATTTGGATATCACAAATTCAATTCATTTTTGTCCAACCTCACTGTTAAGCTTATTTTGTATAACAGATACATGAGCTAAAAGTTTATTTTTTATGATCTTTTTTCGGTGACGCTGGAGAGGCAACTTTAAGACAGTTTTTACACATCGGGGAAGACAACGCGTGCCCTCGTGTACATCTGATTTATCCATGTGCTTGTATTCCTGTATAGGTGAAAGGGTTAACTGTTGTTATTAACACAAGGAAGAGTTCAGGTTGCCTTTGTCAGTGTTGTTTGGGCATCAAGCGGAATGGTCGGGACTGACGTGATCTATTACGATTCAGCTGTTTTCAAGGGCACTAGGAAAAGATCCACACCCACAATGTTTGTCTAATGTGCGTGAGACAAATAACAGATCTGGCTGATCAAACCGGTGTTCTGACAAACCTTCTACGTTGGCAAAACGTCCTACCGTAAGTAGTTTATGCACATTTCTGCAGTCACAGAGGAATTCCAGCACAAATATAAGTAGGTATGACGGTTTGCCACTTAACGTTGCCCATCAGAGTATGCTTGTAGCTTATATTCTTAAAGCCAGGGTGGTTTGCCACTTAATTTTACCCGTTAAAGTATGCTTGTAGGTAACATTCACAAAGGTAGCATGGTTTGACACTTAATTTTAGCTGTTAAAGTGTGTTTCTAGCTCATATTCACAAAGGTAGGACAATTTGCCACTAAATTCTAGCTGTTAAAGTATGCTTGTAGGTCACATTCACAAAGGTAGGATGGTTTGGCACTGAATTAGTTTCATGAATTAATTTCAGAAACAACGGGTAGGATGGATTCCCAGAACACCAGCCGTTCAAATTTCCATCGTAATTGGGAAACAGTATGTGTAGTGATGGGATTTCCGACTCTTTTTAGAGAACCGGCTCTTTCGGCTTTACTCACCAAAAAGAGCCGGCTCTTTCCTTCAGGTTGTTTTGTTGCTTTAATTAATTTATTATTAACAATAATATATACAATAAAAACAAACAATAAAATATACTTCCAAAGCAGAGCTACTAGATCACTTAAATTACACAATTGAAAGCATACTTGTATGGTTTGTGTATTTATACACAAGCACTCATATATATATTCAAAAAAAAAAAAAAGTTCATTTTTTTTATTTAGTCTCTAGTGTTAGACAATTTTGCAGTTTTGAATTTCTTGTTTGTGTTTTTAGTTTACTTTACTCTTAGGTTTGATTTGTTTTTGCTCTGTTAAATTCCCTTAAGCTGTACTAACAATGAGACTGTGTCGTGTTTGGAAATACGGCTCCAAAGTATAGTTGGAAACACCCAGGTCACGTGATTGTGGTTAATTGCGGTTTTGGTGCACTCCACCACAAATTCGCCAGGTGGCCTCGCTTACCTGCTGCTTCCAAGCAGGTGAGGCGCCTGCAGGTTATAACATCTTGGCTGATACTTGTTGCTACTGAATGGATGTTTTTGATGCTTCTATTTATAACAAGCGGCAACACGCCCGGATTTAATCGCGACAGTCCATTTCACACTGACCAACAGCTTTTCAACCTCACACATTCAGAGGTTGTTCAAGTAGGATAAAGAAACGTCATTATTGTTATTATTATTATTATTAGTAGTAGTATATTACTGCTCTGGAAGCCATATCTGGTGACATGGGCATGATTTATTCAGATTGAACCTGCATGTATGAGATTTCACGTTACAACAGTTGGAATAATAAAAAAATATAATAATATTAATATTTTCTTGAGAGTTAGTACGAAGTAGACCATGTGCAAATAATGGATTTTTTTCTTGCTTTTTTGCAGGATGAATCGTCCTTCAGTTTCTGACTGAGCCGTATGTGGAGGAAACTCAAACATTAAGTGCAGCTGGCTGAAGCAGAATCAGCATGGACTTAGTTTCCTGTTAGAGGATCAGGGTCAGGAGAAGGGATGTCAGGGTTAAATAGTTTATTCTTCATAGAAATGATGCTGGACATGGGGTGTATATGCGTGGGGTGTGTGTGTGTGTGTGTGTGTGGTAGAAGAAAATGTCTAGTGTACGGTAAGCCGCAGAGTCAGCAATTAAATCGGAGCTGGAAAGGCAACAGGTCTTGTGACTGTAATTAACTTCTTCACCACCAGGTGGTACTGCTGGGTTTCCCAACACACTTTATAGAGCATTTTCTATTGAAAGTAGGAACAATAGAGAAAAATAGAACTGAGAAATGTCTGCCTCTTTTATTGTGACATTGAAAGTTTCTTTTCAGATCATTTAATAAATTTACAGCACAGAGCACATGTCTCTCTCTCTCCGTGCCAATATTTATTTAATTACACTCTGGGTTTCAGGGATTGAACAGTCTGTATTGATCTTTACAATCCACAGCAAAAACAATAATGAGATCAGATATTGTTTTATTCCTTACATGTGTGGATACAAACAAACAAAAAAACAAAAAACAAAAAAAAAAAAAAAAACCTCTGGTTCATAAAAGAAAAGGTTATTCCCCGTGCCTCACCTGCCTGGAAGCAGCAGGTACACCACATGTTGAAACTTGAGTGAAGTCCCAATACCGCAATTAGCCATGCTTACATGACGTGTGTTTCGACCCGACCACACCTTGGAGCAGTGTTTCCAAACATCTGAGCTTAGAAAGCTCAACACTGTGGAAATGTCATTACTGAGCGCCCCACCCAAAACTCAGCTCAATAGTGAAGCTAGTGCTTCATTACAAGCTCTTGTAATGCTCTCTTGTATCAAATCCTGCCTCTGCTACACTGACTGTAGTCTATCTGTCTATCTATATATAGATATAATATAGATGTTGTTTAAATAAACATTGTTTATTTGAAGCTGAAATTGAGGTTGTATCCGTCTCAGAGTTTCCATCAGTACAAACAGAAAGCATCTATTCATGGTCTAGTTTGTCATGCATACAGACACCAACAGGAATTTTGCTTCAGCAATTACACAACAGCTTCAAAGCAAATTGGTGACAGCAGCGCTTACAGTACACATGACTGCAGCCTCCTCAGGCACCAGTATAAGGGACTGACGACTCCTCAAGTATCTATGTTGTGTGCTTCAAGTGTGTGACCTTCACTGTCTGTGTGTATAAAAATTGCTCCATGCTGTGAATTTAAGAACCCCAACATGAAATATAAGATGAGATATTGTCATCACTCTGAGTTTGCTGGAACACCTTTTACCCTCCTCTCTGTGCCTTCAGTCATTTGCTGGGGAATCTAGAGACACAACAAAGTCAGGTACTGGTTTTAGTTTTACTGCCAGGTTAGATGCAGGTTTGCGATGGTGGGGTCACGGTCTGGTATCAGGTATTCAGCTGGAGGTCAGCTGAGTTTTCTTAGTGAACCACTTGTTGTAGTCAAATGTTGTGAACATGAATAAAAATCTTGTCGGTGTGATTCTTGACTTTTTAGTTAACAGGACCCAAAGAGTCCAGCTAAATAGGGTCCTGTCCAACCAGGTCTGCTCCTCGACAGGGATTTGTGCACTCACCCTTATCATTTATCCTATATACAAATGTATACAAATATATGTTAGAGTAAGTTTGAAAATAGGGCCATTTTAAAGTATGCAGACAACTTTCAGGCTGCTCCAGGAAAATAGATCCAGCCACGGCCCAGTGCTTGCTGAGTTTGTCAAATGCCTGCATTCAGTTGAGCAACACTAAGTGTAAGACTAAAGACATGATCATTAATAAAAAAAAACAACAAGCATACACCCAAAGTCACTTTTATTGAAATTCAGATTGTGGAGTGTGTTCAGTGTCATAAATATCCTGGAACAGTTATTGATTCAAAGCTTCATTTTAAAGCAAACTGAAAACAAGAAGCGCTCTCATGTTTGAGAAGGCTTTCTTGTTTCTACATTGATAAAACCACAATGAGTTTATTTATATCTACTCTTCATTGGATCTGCTTTATGTTTTTCTTTGGTGGCTTAAGAGGCTGATAAAGTGCGTAACAGTTTGTCAGCTGCTCGAATCCAGTTTTACTGCTGTGTTCACTGGTACAGTGGAGTTATTGACCTTTAACTAAAACTGAAAGAAAAGATGAAACATAAACAAAGACATGAGCGGTCACTTACCACTAATGCCTCACCTCACTGATAGGAGAAGTGCTGAGTATATGTTATCTTATGTTCTCGTGGCTTGAAAGTAAAGCCAACTGAATACAAATCTACTGAGAGGGGAAGCGACAAGAGTTTGCATTTGATTCTCAAGTAGGCTTTGTTGTGTTCCTTTTTCATTTAAACAATGCACCTGTTATTTTATGTGCATGGTTTATTTATTTATCTATAAAATGTCTTTAAGTGTAGGTAGTAAAGTAGCAGGTCCAAAAAAAAGACATCTCTGTTTTACTGTAATGTAAATGTTTAGTCACAGTCTGTAAAGCAGGGTGTGACTGGAATGAGCAGTTTGGACACTTTGTGTTTGTCACGTGTCTGAATAGACAGGTTTAACAGTGAGCTGAAGCGTCTTCTTTATCTGAAATATTCAGGCGGTTGTTTGTTCCTTCAGCTTATTAAATCAAAGTGGACAGATTGCGGGTCACTCTCCTACAAACAAGTAAGTAGACTTTAAAACATCCTGTGTGAACGTGTGTGCTTTTGTTGTTTACTTTTGATGCAGGCGCCTTTTAAAA